TGTCCCCCCCCCGTCCCCCCCACCCCTCCGTGGGAACGGCTCCAGCCCCGGCCCCGTTTCCGCTCTTCCCTTCCAGGAAGCGGCGCCGGGATCCGGCCCCCCCCGTGTCCCCCGCGGTGTCCCCTTCCTCCGGCCGTGTCCCCTTCCTCCCTCGTGTCCCCCTCCTCCCTCGTGTCCCTTTCCTAGCCCCGTGTCCCCCGCCGTGTCCCCTTCCTCCCGCGGTGTCCCCGGCCCTGCCACCCCCTGGCCTGGCCCGCTCCTGTCCCCCGTGTCCCCCCCCATGTCCCCTGTGCCTGTCCCGCTCGTGTCCCCACACGGTGTCCTGTGTGCTGGTGTCCCCAAATGTCCCAGTACCCCGGTGTCCCCGTACCCCGGTGTCCCTGTCCCTCACGTCCCTCTGTCCCGGTGTCCCCGTCCCTCAGTCCCGCTGTCCCAAGGTGTCCCAGTGCCTTTCGGGTGTCCCCGTCCCCGCTGTCCCGTTGCCCTCAGGGTGTCCCTGATGTCCCTGGGGTGTCCTTCAGGTGTCCCCATCCCTGATGTCCCCATGGCCCTGCTCTGTCCCAGGGTGTCCCGGTGTCCTTGGAGTGTCCCGGTGTCCCTCGAGTGTCCCATTCCCTTCTGTCCTGGTGTCCCCGGGCTGTCCCGGTGTCCCTGGGGTGTCCCTGTCCTTTCTATCCCGGTGTCCCCGGGGTGTCCCGGTGTCCCTGGGGTGTCCCTGTCCTTTCTATCCCGGTGTCCCCGGGGTGTCCCGGTGTCCCCGGGGTGTCCCTGTCCCTTCTGTCCCGCTGTCCCCGGGTTGTCCCGCTGTCCCCGGGGTGTCCCTGTCCCTTCTGTCCCGCTCCCCGCGGGGTGTCCCCGTCCCTGCTGTCCCCGTGTCCCCGGCGTGCCCCGCTCCCCCCGGGCTCCCCGGTGCCGGTGCCGGTGCCGGTGCCCGGCGGGGCTCTGGCTCCTCCCCGGTGAGTCACGGCGGGGCGGGGCGGCCCCGGGCCCCCCCCGGGCACTTTCCGAGGGGACTCGGGAGCGGGAGCAGCGCCGAGCCCGGGCAGCCCCGACCGCCATGGCCCCCTGCTGCTGCCGCTGCTGCTCCCGCCGGTGGCCGCCTTCAACCTGGAGGCGTCGCGGCCCGTGGTGTTCCGCGGGGCCCCCGGCTCCTTCTTCGGCTTCGCGCTGGACTTTTACCTGCCCGAGCCCCGCAGGTACCGGGAACCGAGCGGGAACCGAGCGGGAACCGAGCGGGAGCCGAGCGGGAGCCGGGCCGGGAGCGGCACCGCCAGCCGCGCCGGGAACCGGGACCGCCCACGGGGAGCGGGGACGGGACGGGGCGGGAGCGGCCCCGGGAGCGGCCCCGGAGCGGCCCCGGAGCCGGGAGGCGGCGGGACGGGACCGGAGGGAGCGAGGGACGGCGGGCAGCGGTGCCGGGACCGGGAGCGGGACGGGGAGCGGGCACCGGGAGCGGGAGCGGCCGCCCGGGAGCGGGAGCGGCCCGGTGGGACGGGGAGCGGCCGCGGGGCGGGGCGGGGCCAGGAGGGACGGACCGGGAGCGGGATAACGGGAACGGGACAGCGGGACCGGGAAGGGGAAGGGCCAACGGGAACGGGAGCGGGCGGGGGCGGCGGGAACGGGAACGGGAAGTGAGAACCGGGAGCGGGACGGGGGAGAGGGAGCCGGAGCCGGGGAGCGGAGCGGTCCCGGGGACCGGGCCCGGGCAGCGGGAACGGGAACAGGGCAGCGGGCGGGGAATCGGCACCGGGACGGGAAGCGGGAATGGGGAGCAGGAAGCGGGGCCGGGGAACGGGAACCGGGAGGGTCCGGCGCGGGGGTCCCGAGCGGGCCGAGCCCCGGTCCCCGGTGTCCCCCCGGTGTCCCCCCGGTGTCCCCCCGTGTTCCCCCCGCGCCGGCCCCGCCGGGGGTCCCGGGGCCCCGCTGCCCCGGGCCCGGAGCGTTTCCTGTAACCGGAGCCGGGAGCTGCCCCGGGGGGCTCGGGGGGGGCTCGGGGGGACCCGAACATCGGGGGGGACCCGAACATCGGGGCCCCCCCGGCCGTGTCCCCCCCTCCCCTCGGGCCGGGAGGGGCTCGGGGAGCACTCGGGGGGGTCCCCGTGGGGTCACTCCCCCCCTGAGCCCCCCTGTCCCCGCAGTGTCAGCATCCTGGTGGGGGCCCCCAAGGCCAACACGAGCCAGCCCAATGTCACCCAGGGGGGGGCCGTGTTCCACTGCCCCTGGCCCCCCGCGGGCGGCTGCGCCCCCATCGACTTCGACCACATCGGTGAGGGGACACCGGGGACACGGGGGGACAGGGGGGACACCGGGGACACGGGGGGACACGGGGGGACACCGGGGACACGGGGGGGACAGGGGGGACAGGGGGAAGGGGACACACCTGGAATGGGCACACGTGGGGGGGACAGGACCCCCAGGAATGGGGACAGAGATGGGTGGGGACAAAATCCCCCCCAGGAATGGGGACAGGGACAGGGACAAACCCCCAGGGACAGGGAGAGGGACAAGGACAGGGACAAACCCCCCAGGAACGGGGACAGACCCCCAGGAATGGCGACAGGGACAGGGACAAACCCCCCAGGAAGGGGGACAGGGACAGGGACAAATCCCCAGGAATGGGGACAGACCCAGCAGCGAGGGCGCCGAGCCCGTGGAGTTCAAATCCCTGCAGTGGTTCGGGGCCACCGTGAGGGCCCACAACGGCTCCATCCTGGTACGGGGAACAAATCCCCAGGAACGGGGCCATGGGCGGGGGACAGGAATGGGGACAAAGATGGGGACCGCCCCCCCCCCAGGTCTGTGGGGACAGGCATGGGGACCCCCGCCAGGGGACAGGGCACAGCGGTGACACCCAGCGCCCCCCAGGACCCCCCCAGGACAGCTGGGTGTCACCGTGTCACCGTCCCCTGTCCCTGTCCCCTCCCCCCGCTGGCCTTGGCTCCCGTTAATGATCAACCCGGGTATGGGGGGACATGGGACACTGAGGGGACACTGGGGACACTGGGGACATGGGGACACCGAGGGGACATTGGGCACACCGGGCACACACCGTGGGGTGACCAGCGGTGCCCCCCCCGCGCCCCCCAGGCCTGCGCCCCCCTGTACAGCTGGAGCCCCCCCAAGGAGGAGGGGGGGGCGCGGGAGCCGGTGGGCTCCTGCTTCCTGTCCCTGGGCAACTTCTCCAAGTTCGTGGAGTACGCGCCCTGCCGCTCAGGTGGGACCCCAAAAACCCTAAACCCCCCCAAAAAACCCCAGAAACCTGCTCAAAAACCCCCTGGCACCCCCCAAAATCCCTGCCGCTCCGGTGGGACCCCAATGGGGGTCCCGGGCCGGGGGTGCAGCCCGGCTCAGGGGTTGGGTTTTTGGGGGTCCCGGGAGTTTGGGGGTCCCGGGCCGGGGGCGCAGCCCGGCTCAGGGGTCCCCGCTGTCTCCGCAGACCGGCCGGGTGCTCCTGGGGGGGCCCGGCAGCTACTTCTGGCAAGGTGAGACCCCCACCCGCCCGGGCCTGTCCCCTGTCCCTGTCCCTGCCTGATCTCCCTCTCCCTGTCCCCGGGGTGCTGAGGTGTCCCCAGGGTGTCCCCAGGGGTGTCCCCGGGGTGCTGAGGTGTCCCCAGGGAGGTGTCCCTGTCCCCAGGGTGTCCCCAGGGGTGTCCCCAGGGTGTCCCCGGGGTGCTGAGGTGTCCCCTGTCCCCAGGGCAGGTGATGTCGGCCACCCAGGAGCAGATCGCGGCCGGGAACTTCCCCGAGTACCTGATCCAGGAGGTGCCGGGACAGCTCCAGACGCGGCAGGCGGAGCCCAGCCACGACGACAGCTACATGGGTGACACGGGGACAGGGACATGGGGACAGTGACATGGGTGACATGGGTGACATGGGGACAGGGACATGGGTGACATGGGTGACACGGGGACAGGGACACGGGGACATGGGTGACACGGGGACAGCTACATGGGTGACATGGGGACAGGGACACGGGGACATGGGTGACATGGGGACAGGGACATGGGTGACATGGGACATGGGGACACACGGGGACAGGGACACGGGGACATGGGTGACACGGGGACAGCTACATGGGTGACATGGGGACAGGGACATGGGGACAGCGACATGGGCGACATGGGGACATGGGTGACATGGGGACAGGGACACGGGGACATGGGACACGGGGACAGCTACATGGGTGACATGGGACACCTGGGGACAGGGACATGGGTGACACGGGACACGGGGACAGGGACACGGGGACACCTGGGGGACATGGGTGACACGGGCAGTGGCACCAGGGTGACACACAGATGGCACACAGGCGGCACACAGTGACACACAGGCAGCACACGGGTGACACACAGATGGCACACAGTGACACACAGGTGACACAGGTGGCACACAGGTGACACACAGGCAGCACACGGGTGACACACAGATGGCACACAGTGACACACAGGTGACACAGGTGACACACAGGTGACACACAGATGGCACACAGGCGACACAGGCAGCACACAGGTGACACACAGGCAGCACACAGGTGACACAGGCAGCACACAGGTGACACACAGATGGCACACAGTGACACACAGTGACACAGGTGACACACAGATGACACACAGGTGGCACACGGGTGACACTCTGTCTCTCCCCCCCCAGGCTACTCGGTGACAGTCGGGGAGTTCAGCGGTGACACCACGCAAGGTGGGTGACAGCGGGTGACACGCGAGGGCGACACGCGAGGGTGACACGGCCACACCTGAGCGTGTCCCTTTGTCCTTCTGTCCCTTTGTCCCCACAGACTTCGTGGCCGGTGTCCCCAAGGGCAACCTGACCTACGGCTACGTAAGGGGGACACGGGGGACACGGGGGGGACACGGGGGGCACTGGGGGGGTCGCGCTGCCCGTGCCCCCCCCCCGGCTCAGTGTCCCCTCGGGGTCCCCCCGGTGTCCCCCGGTCACACTCAGTGACCCCCAGACCCATTTTGTGCCCCCCAGGCTCACGGCCCTGCTGGTGGGCGCCCCGCTGTTCATGGCGCGCAGCGGCGTGGGGGGGGCGCGGGAGCTGGGCCGGGTGTACGTGTACCTGCACCGGGGGGGGGGGCTGCCCGCGCCCCCCGCCCCCCTCACCGGCCAGCACGAGTTCGGCCGCTTCGGCAGCGCCATCGCCGCGCTGGGGGACCTGGACCGCGACGGATACAACGGTACCGGCACCGGGACCGGGACCGGGGGGGCACCGGGACCGGAGGGGCACCGGGACCGAGGGGGCACCGGG